ACTTTGTGGGATCAGTTTGGGGATGGCCCCTTCCTGTTCCAACATGACTGCACACCAGTACACAAAGCAAGGTCCATAAAGACGTGGTTGTGTGAGTTTGGGGTGAGGAACTTGTCTGGCCTGCACAGAGTCCTGACCTCAACCCGATAGAACACCTTTGGGATGAATTCGAGCGGAGACTGCGATCCAGGCCTTCTCATCCGACATCAGTGCCTGACCTCACAAATGTGCTTCTGGAAGAATGGTCAAACCTTCCCATAGACACCCTCCTAAACCTTGTGGATGGCCTTCCCAGAAGAGTTGAAGCTGTTATAGCTGCAAAGGGCGGGGCCAATTCAATATTGAACCCTACGGACTAAGACTGGGGGGCCATTATATGTGCGTGTAAAGGCAGGCCGACCAATACTTTTGGCAATATAGTGTGTTTTAGTCCTGTGCAAATCAATGGCTGGCGCCAGCGCTTTTCACCAATCAGGGGCTCTGATTGGACCGACCATAGCATACTGCGGCCATAGCATAGAGTGCCGCTGCGTCTAGATGCAGACTTGAGCCACATCGGAACGCTACAATCTGGCAGCTTTCATTTGCCTGCCTGAATGAGGCCTTACTATGAAATCTGTCATGAACGACGACTAATATTTTCAGAAGACTAGCAATGCTGTAGAACTCCAGACAAACAGCTAAATACGCCATTGAAATACATATATCACCCGCTAAATGGTTTGAATTTCTGTCCATCCAGTTCTGAGATTTATACAGCCATGACAGATGGCATAGCTATCCTGAAGACATAAACTTTCCTCTGCTGCAGTCAGTGCCGGGACAAGGTCATCTAGAGCCCAGGGCGAATATGTCAAATTGTGCCCCCCTCTTCAAGATGTATGAGCATTATGTGTCAGCAAAAATCCCCCCCCCCCCCAAAAAAAAACAAATCAAGCACTAATCTGCTTGCCAACCTCCTAAGCATAACTCCCCCCCCCCCCTCCACAAATCCACCCACTTAATGAAATCCTCCCTCCCAGCACAAAACCCCCCCCATCTCAAATCCTCCCCATATGCCCCAGAACAAATCGCACTCCCCCAAATCTCCCATCCTAGCACAAACCCCTTCCCCCCCCCCCCCCACACACCATATTACCTTTTCTAACACAAACCCCTAAAATCCTCCCTCCTAGCTCAAATCCTCTCCCCCCCCCAACACAAATTCCCTCAAATCACCATTCCTAGCACACATCTTCAAATTTAAACTCCTAGAGCAATTATTACCCCCTGCCACCCCCCAAATTCCCCCTCCCAACACAAAGTACCTCCCCCCAATCCCCTCGTGGTGCCCCCACCTCACATGGTACCACAGTGACCAGTGCATCGCCCCTCCTGCCCACCCCTCGTCCCGGCCCTGGCTGCAGTTAAGTAACACTGCTAGATCACCTCCCAGCCCCCATCCTATAATGGGACAGTAAAGAGGCAGCAATGTAATCTCTCTGCTCTCCCCTCCTGTCAGCATGTTCCTTTTCAGCAGATGTGAGTGCAAGACACCTGATGGATGGAAATGGCTACCCCTTCTTCTCCTTGAATGTTTTTTATATTACTTGAATGGGTGTAGCCAGGTACTGGACTACAGAAACATGGAGGAGACATTTCCGTCTTTACAATTAGTTTATGGATCTTTACAATACAATTCCCATAGGACATTGAGGAGGAAGGAAATGGAGGAACAGCTTTTACCAGACTGCACTGGAAACCTCTTCTTCTTTGCAATGCAGGAGCTGAGATGTGCACATCGGTCCTGGAGCACATGGATCATCCACGGGGTGAGTGACCAGAGACTGAGACCTTGGGCCGGAGACACCCAAGGCAGCCCAGACCAAAGTGACTGCATTTGAGCTGTTGCCGCAGGGCAACCAGAGCATCCATTTACCCTTACCCTCTGCTTCCCACTACAGAATTTCCAGAGGTCTTCTGTGGAGAGACTTAGGGGGCTCCTCTTCTACAGCGAGAGGTCACTACAGCATCCCAGAGACTGGTGAGAGGGCTATTCGCCCATTGCTGACACTGTTAGCAGGGACTGAGCCACTGAGAGTAGGACAACAAGTGTATCCAATCCATATTATACCCATACTCTATACTGCACCTATTCCAAACCTAGACTTCACTTATACCAACCCTAGACCACATTCTACCAAACCGTTACCACATCTGAACCACATCTCCCCTGCATCTGTGCATACCATATCTGTACTGCATGCAGGGTAACTAGGACTGATGTTAAGTGCACCAACGCTCTTAAAGGGCCCCGACAATAGCTGGCAGAAGAACATCTCAAAGGACTCTGTAAGTCCCTTTCTTTCCCCTGAAACTCCCCCGGTCCACAACCACCACCACCTCTGCCATCCTCCTTTTCCTTTGGACACTGCATAACCAGTCAGTCTAGGACTTGCAGCACCGCCATAAATGCAATCAGTTCCAGCACACGGTAGATTCAGCTTTGCTGCTCACCGCCGTATTTGACACGGCCTTGCTATTGTTTATACTGATCTGAACACCACATGTCATCTTATGCCTTCACCTTACTGTTAATCACTTTGTATCCTAAATTGTGTTTTTTCCATTATTAATCCATTTTATGTTTGCCTGGTTACAAACCATATTGGTTGACAATATATTTAGTTGGCCTTTACTATCTTGTTTGGTTTTGTTTAATACAGCGCTACTACTGGCTACTAAGTATCACCTTCAGTGATTTCCTGTGATATTGCATGTTTATACACTCACCCTGGTGGGTTAGAGGTGCTGAGGTTTTTTAGAAAACATCAATGCAAAGAACAGAGACCCCATCCTAATTAGCAGCTCCTATGGGGGTAGCGCTACATAGGCAAATATTTTCCTGCCCATCATCCCTGCTGAGATATCTGCTTGTCCCTGATCATTAAGAACCATCCGAAATCTGCATAATATAGGTTAACGTGTGATCTGTCCAAAATTTGTTCTGTGGGTGGCCCTGTCACTATTCTCCCGCCCGACATCCCCTAGCTGAAAAATCAGAGCTAGACAGAAAATAGTCAACATCTGATTGGTTGCATCTATTCTACAGGTATTCTGACAGCGATTGATACATAATTACTGCTGCAGATATCCATCTGTGTTGCATATTATGGAAGAATCTGTTAGATTTTGTTTTTTTGTTCAGCCCACAGGCTGTGCAAAAATGTCTGAACTGTGTATGACCAGCTTCGGGCAGACAAACACAAGACCAGGGGCGGACTGACAACTCATGGGGCCCCCGGGCAATAGGGGATCATGGGGCCCCTGTATCCCTGCCCAAACTCATGAAAAAGGTACCAGGGGCATATCATGGGGCCCCCTACTGACCCCGGGCCCTCGAGCAGTGCCTGAGTTTCCAAATGGTCAGTCCACCCCTGCACAAGACTGAAAGGGGAGGATGACCAGCACTGCTCTGCTGGATCCCTCCGCTGGATAAAACAAGTATGATACACTGTACAATCTGGGGAACCGAGGAGAGGGAAAAGAGATATGATGTTACCATACAATAATATATTTTAGGTTCACATTTTAAATACACCAAGGCTGACCTCTCTTCTGAAAATTCTGGTTTCCTGGCTGCAACACTGATATATAGACATATGATCAGGGGTGTATTTATCACAAGGCAAACAAGGCATTTGCCTAGGGCGGCATTTTTCTGGGGGGCAGCACCACCCTCCTGGAAGAAGGGATGGAAGAAGGGCCACATGCGGCTTGGGGACCAGGTGGGATCTGAGAGAGGCTGCGGGCTGCTTGACTTTCATTCCCAGGGATGTCCAGAGTTTGTGGAGGTGACTGTCTTTCTCTGTCCCACTGGGAGAAGAGTGGCCGGTGTATGAAGGCAATGGTAGCGGAAGGCTCTGTTGGGTGGGGCAGGGGTGTTGTTGATCAATGTCAGGATCTCTCAGGGAGGGGAGCAAATTTTGTGTTGCCTAGGGCAGCACAAATCCTAAATACACCACTGTATATGATGAATAAAACCATTTTACCTCCAAAAGTCTGATTTTAAGCCCTCAGGCACACTGGGCGTTTTGATAACTCTGGTAATGTTAGCTGTGTTTTTTTATTGTTTTTGCATTAGCGTTTAGCGGCATTTTGCGTTTGCATTTTTTAGCTGTTTTTTTTACCCCCCAAATTGTTTTTTCTCCAGCCAAAAAATGTCTCTGCCAAAAAACGTTGATTACAGTCTATGTGTGCATGGACACATAGGATAACATGCTGGGGGGGTTTACTGGCTGTAGAAAAAACCATCAAAAGCCAAAAACAGCCGCTGTAAAAACAGCCCGTGTACATGAGGACTAAGTCCTCATACACACGGGGCGTTTTGATAACGCTGGTAACGTTAGCTGTGTAAGTCACGTTAAAACGTGAGTTTTTCTGCTTTTTTTTAGCGTTTTTGCATTAGTGTTAAGCATCGTTTTCCCGTTTTTTTTTTTCCGCTTTGTGTTCTTTAGCATTTTTTTTACCAGCAAAAAATGTTTTTGGAGGGTCCAAAAAAATCCAAAAGCGCTGGTTTGCGGCGTTTTACCACGTTTTTCAACGTTAGAGCGTTTTTACAGCTAAAATACTCCTCTAGAAACCCACTAGTTCTGGGTTTTTTTCCGAGCCAAAAAAAAACCTGGATTACAGTCTATCTGTGCATGGGCACATAGGATAACATGCTGGGGGGTTTGCTGGCTGTGGAAAAAAAAAACGTCAAAAGCCAAAAACAGCCGCTGTAAAACCTCCCGTGTGCATGAGGACTGAGTTCGAGATTTACCAGCTGCTATCTTGTCAAAGTGTAATTAAAAGCCAGAACTGTATGGAGCACTTAGTGCGGCAGAGCTCAGCGTTGTCGCCTTCACTGCGTACTCTATTGCCTTTTTAAGCCTTTGTTTGCTTTGCATTCCTCTCTTGCAAAACCTCTCTTCCTGGCTCCTGTTCTCGGTGGCTTCCTCCCAGGGGCCGACTGACAACTCATGGGGCCCCCGGGCAATAGGGGATCATGGGGCCCCTGTGTCCTTGCCCAAACTCAAAAAAACCTATGAAAAAGGTACCAGGGGCATCTCATGGGGCCCCCTACTGACCCCGGGCCCTCGGGCAGTGCCCGAGTTTCCAAATGGTCAGTCCGCCCCTGCTTCATCCCCGTAGGCTCATCACACACTTTACAATCTGATTATCCTCTCCCTCTACTTTAGGGGGAAAGCCAAGCTACATGCTTAGATAGGGGTCTGGTATTTACTTTTTTGGGGGTCCATGCTGTTCTTTTATTTTGCATGGGCCCCCCCCCCCCCCCCACATCCACACCAGACCTGAAAATCTCACACCATTTATCCCTGCGCCTTTGTTTACATCCACCTGTCAGCCGGGAATCCCTGACTTTGGAAGGATACCCCCCTCTCTTCTGTTGTGGTAGTGGGCTAAACAACTGAAGGCAAAACGTTTTGTTTTGGATGTTGTGGAGAGGGATTAGAACCCCTGTCAGTAGTTCTTGCTGTCTGTGTCCCCGTTAGAGATATTCACCCTCTCTATTTGTCCTGTTTACCATTATCATCAGAAGCAAAAGAAAATCCCAAATATTGAGTTGTCCCCAGAACAGGAATAGAGGGGAAATCTTCCAATGGGGACACTCAGGGATTCCCTCTATTTGGAGGGAGTTTCTCTCACTTCCTGTTGTGGCCATTGGACAGGAAGTGAAGGTAAGTCTCCCTAAGAGGTCACAGATTGCAAAAAAAACCCCCCAAAAAATCCTCTCCTCTTACTCTATCCAAAATAACAAGAAATGTTTTGCCCATAGTTCTAGTTTAAACCACTTGCCAACCACGCTATAGATGAATGTTGGCTACAGAGCGGTTGTCCAGTTCTGGGAGGGCGTCATATGACATTCTCCCGAACGCACCCTCCCACGCGCCCCCAGCAATCACATGATATGGTAAAAGGACAATCACAGCAGCCTTTTATCACGTGTCCAATGACATAGCAAATCACCAGTAAATGCAGTTGCCGGTTATTGGCTGCACTTTCCTTGCGCTGTCACAGCGAGAGGAAAGTACTGCCGATAACCAGCAATTGTCAGAGGACGGATCAACACCGATCATCAGTGCCCATCAGTGCTGCCCACAAGTGCCCAGCAGTGGCACCCACCTGTGCCAATCAGTGCCCAGCAGTGCCACCCACCAGTGCCCTCATCAGTGCTGCCCATCAGTGCCCAGCAGTGCCGCCAGTCAGTGCCACCCATCAGTGCCGCCTATCAGTGCACATCATTGTTGCATATCAGTGCAGTATCATCAGTGCCAGCTCCTCAGTGCTGCCCATCAGTGCCACCTCATCAGTGCTGCCCATCAGTGCCACCAGTCAGTGCCCAGCAGTGCCACCAGTCAGTGCCATCAGTCAGTGTCACCCATCAGTGCTGCCCATCAGTGCCGCCTATCAGTGCCCATCATTGTTGCATATCAGTGCAGTATCATCAGTGCCAGCTCATCAGTGCTGCCGATCCATGCCACCTCATCAGTGCTGCCCATCAGTGCCATCAGTCAGTGCCACCCATCAGTGCTGCCCATCAGTGCCGCCTATCAGTGCCCATCATTGTTGCATATCAGTGCAGTATCATCAGTGCCAGCTCATCAGTGCTCATCAGTGCTGCCTATCCATGCCACCTCATCAGTGCTGCCCATCAGTGCCACCAGTCAGTGCCCAGCAGTGCCATCAGTCAGTGCCACCCATCAGTGCTGCCCATCAGTGCCACCTATCAGTGCCCATCATTGTTGCATCATCAGTGCTCATCAGTGCTGCCTATCCATGCCACCTCATCAGTGCTGCCCATCAGTGCCATCAGTCAGTGCCACCCATCAGTGCTGCCCATCAGTGCCGCCTATCAGTGCCCATCATTGTTGCATATCAGTGCAGTATCATCAGTTCCAGCTCATCAGTGCTCATAAGTGCTGCCTATCCATGCCACCTCATCAGTGCTGCCCATCAGTGCCACCAGTCAGTGCCAGCAGTGCCGCCAGTCAGTGCCATCAGTGCCACCCATCAGTGCCGCCTATCAGTGCCCATCATTATTGCATATCAGTGCAGTATCATCAGTGCTAGCTCATTAGTGCTCATCAGTGCTGCCTATCCGTGCCACCTCATCAGTGCTGCCCATCAGTGCCAATCAGTGTTGCCTCATCAACGTACATCAGTGAAGGAGAAAAAATACCTGTTTTCAGATTTATAATAGAAACCGCGTAATTGTCTTTCAAATTGCGACAGCGCTGAAAGCTGAAAATTGGCCTGGGCAGGAAGAGGGTATAAGTGCCCGGTAGGGATGTGGTTAATCAAACGATATGGAGAATCTTCCATATCTATGTGACATCTCGGAGACATGTACTGCCTGGTATACGAGGGGTCTGACATAAGGACCTTCAGCCTCCTATCTTTTCTACAAAGCCCAGTCTACGAGACAATTCATCTTCTACCTCTCAGCATGTCAGATGACCATAGAGAGACATTTTATGGCTGGTTTCATGGAGTGCACAAGTTACTGTCCAGCTCTATATATAGACAAGTATTCCATTCTTGGCAGACGCCGAGACACAGACCAGCAGTAATATAAACGACTCTAAACAGAGAAGAATACCACAAAACACCACGACTGAGAACACCTCCCGGACCAGGACCATCCCTCTAAGTGACATTATATTGTATCACTGCCAAAAGTGATCCAATCAAGTGAATGGGGCCGTGCCGCAACCGCCTGACACTCTGTGTAATGTGCGCGTTGTCAGTGTACATTTACCAGCACATCAGAGATCGTCAAATAGTTTCCGATGGTTTTATTCAAACGGGATCAAATTGCAACGGAAAAGTGCAACATTATGGGGAAACGCAGGACCACCTCATCAGGCATGTGATGCAATGGGGTCCTGTGTGGCCCCGGAAAACATTGCAGTTTTCCGCTGTGATGTGATCACATTTGAATAAATTCTTGGCATGCTATTTTGAAGATCCATGATGTGCTGGCCAATATGTCCATTGGTCTGTGGTGTTTCCAGTTCCCGGCTGGCTGTTGCTGCAGCTCTGGCTCTCCTTAAAAAACGCTTCCTGATCACCCTATAGCAGAACTACTGCTACAGGGCGGCAGAGCTGCGCAAAATCACGTGTATATATACTTGACTTTGTATGTCTGGGTAGGGGGCACGCGTGCGTCCTCCCTGCGCCGCCATTGGCGGCTACAGCTGTCGATCACTGCATCCTGGGCGGAGATTCTCCGCCGAGGAACAATGACAGGTGAGAAGTCTGTATGTAAACAATACAGATCTCTACCCTGTCAGCTCCAGCACATTGCTTTGTATAGCTCTGCATGGCAGAGCAATACAAAGCAGCATGCTTACATAGTAAAACACACACAGCACAGTTAACCCTTTGATCGCCCCAGATGTTAACCCCTTCTTGCCCTGTGTCATTAGTACAGTGTCAGTATTAGTGTGACTGGGCATGTCAGTGACAGTTAGCCAGTTCCCCCCCAGTGTCAGAATGCCCGCCACAGTCCTGAAGTCCTGCTATAAGTCGCTGATCGCCGCCTTTACTAGTATTTAAAAAAAAAAAAAAATCCCACTATTTATGCCACCATTTGTAGACGCTATAACTTTTACATAAACCAATTCATTTACACAGATTGGGATTTTTTTTTAGCAAAGACATGTAGCAGAATTTATGACAAATTTTAATTCATTACATTTTTTTTACTGGATATGTTTTATAGCAAAAAGTCAAAAACATATATTTTTTTTCAAAATTGTTGGTCTTTTTTTGTTTATAGCGCAAAAAATAAAAAACACACAGGCGATCAAATACCACTGAAAGAAAGCTCTATTTATGGGGAAAAAAAAAAGATATAATTTTCATTTGGGTGCACGGTTGTATGACTGCGCAATTGTCAGTTAAAGTAATGCAGCACCGTATCGTAAAAAATGGCCTGGTCAGGAAGGGGGGTAAATCCTCTGGAGGGCAAGTGGTTAAAGTGGTTGTAAAGGCTGAAGATTTATTACCTTCATATATTCTATGCATAAAGGTAAAAAAACCTTCTGTGTGAGCCATTGGCTCCCACTGCTGTCAATCACAGCCAGTGAGCCAATGAGGAGAGGGGCGGGGCTGAGCCCTGGCTCTGTGTGTGAATGGACACACAGAGCAGCGGATGCCCCCTTAGCAAGCTGCTTACTGGTGGGGGCACCCGACAGGAGGGAGGGGCCAGGAGAGCCTACGGGGGACCCGAGAAGAGGAGGATCCGGGCTGCTCTGTGTAAAACTACTGCACCAGCCTCTAGAATCACTTTAAGCCCATTTCAAGAACGTGTACAATGGGAATATTGACATTGATATCCATGCAGTTGTAAGGCAGTGTTTAAAGGATTAAAAAAGGAGGCAACAGCTGACTGTCAACTGCCATATGAAAGGTGATCCACCACAGATCACTTTTCAGAGGGGCGGGAAGACACCACTGAAGATGTAAATGAGCCCTAAAAGTCTGGTTGCTGTGGGCGGTGCTGGTAAGTTCTTGTTTTCAGATACTCAATAAGATCAGTTATTGGTAGGACTGTAGTTTTGCTCCTGTACAGGATGTGTACAGAGTGGTATAAACCTGAATTAGGCCAAGCCCACATCTATGCAGATCGTTTGATTTCACAGTGCGTTTTGCAATTTTGAACACATGTTTTTGATGCATTTTGCAATAGGAAAGTTTTGACTTTGATGCGACTTTGCATGGGTGCCACTTTGATGCAACTTGGATGCAACTTTGGATGGCTGCAACTTTGATGCAACTATTTATTTATTTTTGGCTAATAGGAAAGTATAACAGTTCTGTTCATGTAGTGCAACTTTGATGCGACTTTACACCTTCAAGTAGCATCAAAGTCACACCAAAGTAGTGCTAGCCCTTAACCCCAACCCCAGCCTTAACCCAAACATGCAACTTTGGACACATAAAGGTTCCTGCACTACTTTGATGCAGCCTTGATGCTACCTGCGTGTCAGAGACTGTGAAGTTGCATCAAAGTCACATCCATCCAAAGTCGCATCAAAGTCACATCCATCCAATGTCACATCAAAGTCACATCAAAGTCAATACTTTCCTATTGGCAAAAAAAACCCCACAAAACACAACACTTGTGTTTTTCATGCAGGTCCATTGAAGTCTATTACACACAAAACTCAGTCTGTTGCGGGAAAAAAAAGTACCTGGCCCTTTTCAAAAAAAACGCTGCAGCTCAAAACACACAGATGTGAACTAGATCCATAGGAAATCATATTAAATGGACTGTAGTGTGTTTCTGCAAACTGGAAAGCGCACTGAATCCACACAGGCTAAAGTAGATGTAAGCCCAGCCACTAATCCTTATGTGTTTAACATGTAAATATAATTTCAAAAGCCAAATATCTTTAAATCTGTGTAACCTGCTTCTCCTGCCAATGTCCTTGTTTAGGCACTTCTGTTATGGGGTGACAACGCTCTGTCCTCATCTCTCAGCTGCTCCTCTGTGTTGTCACCTTGTCACATGCAGGGGCGAGCTGACCATTTGGAAACTCAGGCACTGCCCGAGGGCCCGGGGTCAGTAGGAGGCCCCATGAGATGCCCCTGGTACCTTTTTCATAGGCTTTTTTTTTGAGTTTGGGCAAGGACACAGGGGCCCCATGATCCCCTATTGCCCGGGGGCCCCATGAGTTGTCAGTCCGCCCCTGGTCACATGTGCTTCTATAGAAGTGCTATGCTCATTATGCTGGCATGGTCCACTGTTGTCACTATCAGGAGGCCGGTTCTGAGCAATGAAATGCAGCCACTGATCAGGAAGTGTCTGCAAAGAGGCTGCATGAGATTGGCAGCACTGGGTTGCAAAAAATGGGCAAAAGGTGAAAATATTATAAAAGGGAAAAAAAAAGCATTTGTATATACCAGGGGCGGACTGACAACTCATGGGGCCCCTGGGCAATAGGGGATCATGGGGCCCCTGTGTCCTTGCCCAAACTCAAAAAAGCTATGAAAAAGGTACCAGGGGCATCTCATGGGGCCCCCTACTGACCCTAGGGCCCTCGGGCAGTGCCAGAGTTTCCAAATGATCAGTCCGCCCCTGGTATATACTGTATGTGGGCTGCACAGTGGCTTAGTGTTTAGCACTTCTGTCTTGCAGCACTGGGGTTCTCAGCTCCAAACCTGGCCAGGTCATTATTTGCATGGAGTTTGCATGTTCTCCCTGTGCTTGTGTGGGTACCCCAGCTTCCTTCCACACTCCAAAGACAAGCTGGTAGGTTATTGGCTCCTGTCTACATTGGCCCTAGTATGTGTATGTGTGAATGTGAGATAGGGCCCCAACCACACAGTGCAGTTTTATCAAATTACGAGAACAGCAAAAGCCTAAAATCTGGTGTTAAGCCCACCATACACTATACAATCTGACTGTACAACCTCCTTTAGATCGATCAACAAGCATGTAGTGCAAGGGTCTGCCTGAGCAGGCACAGACTGAATTAATTGTTCAGGTAGGTTCTTCTAGTAAATCTAATGCTGAAAAAAAAATAGGCCGATTTTTGCACTGTTAGTGGATTAATTGGTCGGCCGTTTTTTGGGTTTTTTGCACTTTGAGATTATCGGTCATGTTGGAAAATGTGCGGCCGATTTGGATGATTGGCCGATTTTCCCGGCAATGATGGCCAAATCGTTTTAACGATAAAAAAATGGCGCATGAGCCGTGACCTGCAAGGGACAGAAGTTGTGGGGTGAACTTTATGATTTAGTCGGCTGATTTTTTTCATCATTGGTGGTAACGTCGGCCGAATGAATGACCGATTTTTCGTTTATCGTTCGAAAAATCGTCCGATATTCGACCCGTCTATGGCCTGCATAAGGGTGGGAAAAGCAGACGGCTGAGCCGTGGATTTACTGCACCCTGACCTCCCACCCAAGGCTAGTTTTAGATCTTTCCATGCAAAATCACACGCTTTCTCTACATGCAGAGACATACATTGCTGTTTAGCAGATGTTGTGCAGCGATGCTATTAATCATTAATGTCACCTGCAAACACCAGAGTGCAGTACCATGCGATTTGGCGCATTTTCAGAAAAGAGTCAGAGACTTTTCTTCCATGTTTCTTGCGCATAGGGCATCCAATTATGAATGCATAGGCTGCCCTACACAGAATGTGCAAAAAACGTGCAGAAAGGCACCCACACTCGGTGACACCAGTCGGTGGAAATCATGCCTAAATTCTTACGTTGCTTTGCGGCCGATGCAATTTTCAGCTTAGCTTGCAGAGTTTGACAACCTCACCCACTGGGGTCAACGCCGGTCAGACCAAAGATTGGCACGGTATTTTAATACAAATCCCACATACAAAAAATACAGACATTTATAAAGTGTCAGAATCACCTCCTGAACGCATGACAGCCGCTGCTCTATTGCCCTGTGGTGAATCGCTTTTCAGAGGGCGGTATGTACTACCACCAGGGGCGGACTGACAATTCATGGGGCCCCCGGGCAATAGGGGATCATGGGGCCCCTGTGTCCTTGCCCAAACTCAAAAAAGCCTATGAAAAAGGTACCAAGGGCATCTCATGGGGCCCCCTACTGACCCCGGGCCCTCGGGCAGTGCCCGAGTTTCCAAATGGTCAGTCCGCCCCTGACTACCACCCAAGGGCCGACTGACCATTCGAGCACTCGGGCCCGGGGGTCAGTAGGGACTCCCATGAGATGCCCCTGATACCTTTCATTGGCTGTTTCATAGGCTTTTTTGGATGTGGGCGAGCACACAGGGGCCCCATGATCCCCTATTGCTCTGGGGCCCCATGAGTTGTCCGCCCCTACTACCACCCGTGTGAAAGACCCCGAAAGGAGATTGTACAATCAGATTGTATAGTGTATGGCCATCTCTAGATAAGATTCTTGAGGGCAGGCAGTGGATGTTCAGTATGTAAAGCGCCGCGTACTGTGAATTGTCGGCGCTATATAAATGCCTATAGGAAATTATAAGCGTCTAGGGTAATAGGGGTGTAGATCTAATGTAAGCAGTGCTACGCTCAACGGCTCTTTCCAATCAAGAAATGTAACATCTCCTAGAAATAGCAGCCAGCAATCACAGGCAGTACTGGAAGCACCGAGGGCAGGAGGAGTGAGACTTACGCGCAGCGGTGATGGATGGGTGCAGCTCCATTCTGCTGGACAGCTCCTTTGTTTTCAGCAATGCACTGCCAGGAGTCCTCCTTCCACTCTACACCCCACAGGGGTGTTCTGCCGGCTCTGCTCCCGACCTTTGCCCCGTCTTCTCCCACTCAAAAATAAAAAAAAAAATCTGGAGCTCGCCCGAGGTAATTTATTAAAATGAATTCAGCAGCTAAACGCTTTAATTAAACCGGAGAGGGGGGGGGGGGGGGCTGGAGCAGCCGATCGCACCGAATGACACCGCCGGCCGCCCTGATGGATGGGAGGATGGAGACTTTTCATTAGTTTTGCTGTTGAGAGATCCAGTGGCTTCTATTTCCAGAAAAGTGATGGAAAAGTTACCGGCTCCGGGGCAGCGGAGGCAGCTGACGTCACTTCGGTCCCGTCGGTGCAGTTGCCGAGGCTCATCTGTCAAGAGGTTGGGTGGAGGTGGCACAGGTGTGTGGGTGGAGGCTTCATGTTAAACATTCTCACTAGCTCCGGCTTTGTTTCAGTGACCTTTGGCTAATCGCTGTATTCTTCTGCTCCGTAGCAGTGAGTGGCTTTAAAAGAAAAAAAAAAAATAGATTGTAAGCTCTTAAGAGCAGAGCCCTCCGATCCCTTTTGTATTGAATTGTGGTGTGCTTGTACTGTCTCCCTTTATATTGTAAGGTGCTGCACAAACTGTTGGTGGTATATAAATCCTGTATAATAATAATAATAATATTAATTCAACACCACTTTTTTATTTTTACAGTCACTACCTTTCGTATCACTTGCCCCTCCCTTTTAGATTGTAAGCTCTCAAGAACAGAGCCGTCCGAACCCTCTTGTATTGAATTGTATTGGAACTGTACCGTCTCCCTTTACATTGTAACGCTCCGCAAGAAATGTTGGTGCTATAGAAAGCCTGAACTATAATAATTCAACCCAGCGTCTTCATTTTTACAGTCACTACCTTTTGTATCACTTGCCCCTCCCTTTTAGATTGTAAGCTCTCAAGAACAGAGCCGTCCGAACCCTCTTGTAGTGAATTGTATTGTAACTGTACCGTCTCCCATTACATTGTAAAGTGCTGCAAGAAATGTTGGTGCTATAGAAATCCTGAACTATAATAATTCAACCCAGCATCTTCATTTTTACAGTTACTACCTTTTGTATCAATTGCCCCTCCTTTTTAGATTGTAAGCTCTCAGGAGCAGGGCTGTCCAATCCCTTTTGTATTGAATTGTAATGTAATTGACTGTCTCTCTTTATTTTGTAAAGAGCTGAGCAAACTGTTGGTACTATGGAAATCCTGTAAAATAATAATAATTCAACTCCACTTTCACAATTTTTACCTTTAGCACCACTTGCACCTCCATTTTAGATTGCAAGCTCCCATGAGCTCCCTACCAGGGGCGGACTGACCATTTGGAAACTTGGGCACTGCCCGAGGGCCCGGGGTCAGTAGGGGGCCCCATGAGATGCCCCTGGTACCTTTTTCATAGGCTTTTTTGAGTTTGGGCAAGGACACAGGAGCCCCTATTGCCTGGGGGCCCCAGGAGTTTTCAGTCCGCCCCTGCTCCCTACCCTTTTGTATAAGAACAGAGCCCTCTGATTTATATTATAAGGTGCTGCACAAACTGTTGGTACTATGGAAATCCTGTAAAATAATAATAATTCAACTCCACTTTCACAATTTTTACCTTTTGCACCACTTGCACCTCCACTTTAGATTGTAAGCTCCCATGAGCTCCCTACCCTTTTGTATAAGAGCAGAACCCTCTGATCCCTCTTGTATTGAATTGTGTTGTACTTGTACTGTCTCCCTTTATACTGTAAGGTGCTGCACAAACTGTTGATGGCAAATAAATCCTGTATAATATTAATAATAATTCAACACCACTTTTTCATTTTCACAGTTACGGTACTACCTTTTGTATCACTTGCCCCTCCCTTTTAGATTGTAAGGTCACAGGAGCAGAGCCCTCCAATCCCCCTTGTATTGAATTGTATTGTATCTTTACTGTCTCCCTTTATATTATAAGGTGCTGCATGAACTGTTGGTGGTATAGAAATCCTGTATAATAATAATAATTCAACCACACTTCTTAATTTTCACAGTTACTACCTTTGGTGTCACTTGCCCCTCCCTTTTAGATTGTAAGCTCTCAGGAGCAGAACTATCCCATTGAATTGTATTGTAATTGTACTGTCTCCCTTTATATTGTAAAGCAATGAACAGACTGCTGGCGCTTTAGAAATCCTGTATAATAATCATTAAACCCCACTTTTCACAATTTTTACCTTTTGTACCACTTGCACCTCCAATTTAGGTTGTAAGATCCCATGAGCTCCCTACCCTTTTGTATTAAATTGTACAATTTCCCTATATAATGGAAAGCGTTGTGCAAACTGTTGGCGCTATATAAATCCTGTATAATAATAATAGTAATAGAATCTCTCCATGTACTCAGGCAGGAGGTACGTAATTGTATATTGTTATTGCAGAATATTCATAAAAAATGTATCAGTTCACTAAAAGATGTTGACATCACTGAAACAAGGAGCCCATATGGACTTATGTAATAGCAATGTAAAGTGCTGTTTTGTGCATTAGGTATTAACCAACCAATCAGGAATCAGATCTGAGGCCCCTAAGGGCGGCTGTATACCTTGATTTTTTTTTTTTTTTTTGCAAGCAAACACTTCTAAAAGACAGAAAATGCATATTATTATGAAAAGTGCTCGTTAGCAGTTACAGAGATTTCCTGCCATGTTGAAAATTGCTTTTACTATAAGGCTGAATTCCAGGCAGACATAAAAATATCAATTACTGTATTTTCTCAACAATAATTAAAGTGGAACTCAGCTTCCAAGCAAGCAGAATTTCTTTTGTGTTTTCTTTTCTTTCTATTTTTAAAACTTTAAATATTAGTTTTTTTAACCCCGCTGCAGCCTAGGCCAGAATAATGTGTACCTAGTCCGTCAGGTGCACACGCACTTTCACTTGTCGCCTCCGATAATGAGTCTAGGGGTTGTTGTTTTTGTTATTTTATTATTGGAGAACCTGGATAGGGATGGGGAATTTAGTAGGATACTCCAGAGGTAGAACTAATTGTAGTTGAGGACAGAACTTCTTTAAAGTGGAGTTCCACCCAAAAGGGAAAGTTCCACTTTAAGGACTGGTCCCCCACTCCACGTTAAGGAATGGCACTTTTGGGGAGCCAGGGGTGGGGTGGGGGGTACCTGAATTTAGAAACGGAAGTTATTCTCCCTGTAGTCTTCTGGGACATGTGACAGGTCCCAAAAGACTATGGGACCGTTCAGCCGGGTGCCCACACTGAAAATATTGGTGCCCGGAACACAGTAAACGGTCTGTGAGATTGAGGGGCAGGTGTGTGGCTGTTTTTTAAAAACCCATGTGGACTATGAAGCACCAGAGGGGTAACAAAGTACACAGTCTCCAAGTACTCACAAGGCCCAAGGACAGAACGGTTGCCTCCTAAGGCTACAGCTTCCTTCCGGGTTCGGTTTGAACACAAGTTCAGAGCAAACCAAAGTTCATTCCAAGATACCTTGATTGGGCAACAGTGGGCGGGGTTGACATCTTCCTTCTAGGTTCAGTCTGAACCAAGGGCGGACTGAAAACTCATGGGGCCCCCGGGCAATAGGGGATCATGGGGCCCCTGTGTCCTTGCCCAAACTCAAAAAAGCCTATGAAAAAAGGTACCAGGGGCATCTCATGAGGCCCCCTACTGACCCCGGGCCCGAGTTTCCAAATGGTCAGTCCGCCCCTGGTTTGAACCCATTGTTGGGGAAACCTAATCTCATCCCTAATGGTATCCTACCGGGACCCTAGGGACGCCCTTGTCTAGTAACCAATAATGTGTAATGCATGCACATGTGCTGGCAAGAAATTTTCTGACAGGAGGAGAGAGGAGAGAGCAGTGTGGGTAGTGGAGTGAACTGTTGCTTCTCTTTCTCTGTCCAGTCACAAGCTGAGGCAAGGAGATGACCAAGCTTTATTGCTTAACTGCAGCAGAGAAAAGGCAAATCAGCAGTTTGGCTGTGTTGAGTTGCAAGGCTGTGTACATTTTAGAACTGGATGGACAGAAATACTAATCCATCCATAGGTGTTATTTAAATTCGGAATTCAGATGCTTACCTGGAATTAATATTGAATACTCCTGGGCAGGGGTGGACTGACAACTCATGGGGCCCCCGGGCAATTGGGGATCATGGGGCCCCTGTGTCCTTGCCCAAACTCAAAAAAGCCTATGAAAAAGGTACCAGGGGCATCTCATGGGGCCCCCTACTGACCCCGGGCCCTCGGGCAGTGCCCGAGTTTCCAAATGGTCAGTCCGCCCCTGCTCCTGGGTGACAAGTTGCAGAAGAAAGAATGGTGTGCTGTCTGAAGATCACTTGCTATGATCCCTATTAGAATATGTGAACTAATACAAATGTTTTCTGATTGTTTGTTGCACAAAACTGCTCTTTGCACAGTCAGGAAA